AGACTTTGTTTAATTGAAATCAGATGAAAACAAACTGTAACGGACCCTGCCGTGTTATCTATGATTACTTATGCCTTACATTCATAATTTCAGCCGGAGGGAGGGGGAACTGCGCTACCGAACAGCAGATTGCGATTGAGAGGTGCCTGTCATCTTCCCTTTACAAGCTTCACAAATGTATTTATCGTGTGATTTTGGAAATAAAAGTTTCATATTCTGAAAGCCAAGACTTTGTTTATTTAAAATCAAACAAAACACCCGAACCCCGAAAGAATAGTTTTTTCCGCAAATCCACGTTTATTTTGAAATGAGCCGTTGCGACATCCGACTGATTTCGATAGAGCGGGTCACAAATGACCATATCTTCCCTTCTAAAAGATATTTTTACATAGTAAAAAACTGTAAATTATAGTGTCCGTCCAAAAATTCTTTTTTACTTATAGTGAAAACTACCCTTGGATGATGGGTTAGTAGACTAAAAGCTTTAGGAATCCAAAGTACAACATATAATAAGTACCCTGTATCAAGATTGATGCAAAACAAGTGAAATTTGACCTTTTTAGAGAGGTTTAGCCAAAAAAAAACACTTCTGGGGTCATTTGGGTGGATTTGACCTATCTCTGGCCCCCCTTGGTCGATTTTGATGAATGAAATCTCTTTATAACCGCTAGAGCCAATGGAATCGAGGGAAAGTTATATACACACCAAAACGTTAACAAATAAGGAGTGAGAGTGACGCGTTACCAAAACCGGAAGCTGCATACACTCTGGTGGCTACCATTAGCAGCTAACTTTTTTCCGCTCCGATTTTTACATAAAAAATGGAATTATGGATTATAAATAATTTTTTCAAAGGCACAGGTACATTATCAACCTATGGATCAACAGTTGTAGTATTTTCTTTTTTCGTTTTAATGCCATTGAACACGTCTTTTGACCTAATTGACAGCTACGGTGAGACGATCTGCCGTAAATGCTCCGTAAAGGTACTGTTGTGATGTCTGTGTTTGCTTCCCCTGTCGCAAGTTCGGATCGCTCAGTGATGATACTATACCTAAATAATCTGTGGAGTCTCAGCTTTAATAGGCTATATTGTATGTGCAGCTACGATAAGTAATAAGGGTATCTTTATCTTGAATTGTGTGCCGCAGTGCGTTAGAATTATTTCGCTCAGGGGTCATTTAGACGCTTCTTATGAGACTTGTGTTTTGTTTTGGTAAAAATGGTTCATATCTTCAGTTAGCTGAGATTCTTCCCGTTAATCTGGTGCTACAATAGTTTCATAAATGTTAAGAAGCCCTGAGACATTATCTCGAAAAAAAAACGGTGGTAGGGGTCCAATGGGGGGACCGCCGTGCTTAAGAGGTTAAAGAAAGCCCTCAGGAATATAAAAGACCCCCATCACCCCAGCCACAAACTGTTCTGTCTGCTGCCGTCTGGCAGGCGGTACCGCAGCATCCGGACTAAAACCACCAGACTCAGGGACAGTTTCATCCCACAGGCCAGAAGACTATTAAACACCTGAACTTTGAAACAACATCCATAACATTCATCTGGCTGCTACTTAGAAATTATTTATCTAATATATCATATTCCAATCACTTGTATATAGACTCTTATTGCACTATTTCACTTTTTACTATTTTGCTATTTTTCTTTTTGTATTTACTTGCACTATTTTTTCTGTGTATCTGTTTTATTGTGTTGCACTGTTGGAGGAGCCTGTGACCTAAGGGGGGGGGGGGGGGTAGGACACGTTCGAGTCTTGATTTGGATAGTGTGCCGTCGATGGGTTTCATTCCATTTCAAAGTGCTGTTTGACGCAGTGTAAACTTTGCACACTGCCACTCCAACATCCAATCACAGCGCTTGAGAACTAATCACGGGGTTTGTCAAACAAAGCACATGGTGTAGTCCCAAAAGTTAGCTGAGGATTCTGGGTAGTGTAGTGTCTTCTGCCATCCTAAACTCCGAAAAAATATTTGTTTCTCCGAATCCAAGGGGGAAAACACAAAAGCATTGCAAACTAGGGGTGTAACGGTATCCGTATTCGGCCCGAACCGTCACGGTTCGGACGTCACGGTTCGGCACATGCAGTCACACGACGAGTACGCCTTTTTTTTATGAGTGGGAAAAAAGTCTGTCACTCAGTATCCATTACACTATATATAATCCAGGGGGCGGTATTGCACCTAAAAGCTGTTTGCCAGCCGCCCTAAACAACAAATGAAGAACAAGAAGAAAACACAACAAAACTAACAAAATACAAGAAGAAGAAAAGAAGTTAGTATGGCGATTTCAGATAACACACAGGAGCTAGAAGACCCACCTGCTTCTTTTACATCAGCTGTGTGGGAACATTTCGGGTTCCCTGTGGACTACAATAACGATGGAGTGCGAGTGGTGGATCGGACGAGGACGGTGTGTTGGCGTTGTACAGAGGTGCGGTATGCTAATGGTAACACACGCCAAACATGCTAAATCATATCAGAAGGCATCAGCCAGATTTGCCAATCACCGGAGCCCGGCAAAAGACAACAGCAGTTCAACAGCTTATCCCCGCTGTTTTTAAGAAGCTAATAGACATGAAAGCCGAATTCGACATCAGCCATTATAGATAATATGGCCATCTGACTGTGTGTGATACTGTTTGTGGTTTGTTTTTATCTGTGTAATACAGTTAATTATTCAAAATGTTAGAGTTCCTTATTTTTATACTGAAACTTGCACTACTGTTCAAAAATAAATAACAACAAACCTGGAATTATGCATTTGGGACTTTTGTTTAACTTTTTCTTGTTATACCGAACCCGTACCGAACCGTGACCCCCAAACCGAGGTACATACCGAACCGTGAATTCTGTGAACCGTTACACCCCTATTGCACACAACTTTAAACCAATCAATGTTGTGTAATTAACAAGGATAATCTGGTGTTTTTCAGTTGATGAGTAGTGCAGATATCACTGTAAAATCAATCGACAGTAAAGAGAATACTTACTTCCGGGTGTAAAATCCTCCGTTATCCAATGGGAATGGACGCTCACATTGCCTTTAAATGCCGCCGACATGGACCGATGCGGTGCTTCCCTAAGCGTCAAATACCGCCGCCGATGGGAATACATTGCAATCAGTTGAAAGCTCTTTGCGTCCGTTTATGAAGCTGAAGGAGCCTCGGCGCGTCCCAACTGCACGCCACAGGACCCTGACCAAGCGTCGCTCCTGGACGTTTAGGGAGTGAGAGTGTGTTGTTAGGAGCAGTGCCATTATGTACGGCGCCCGGGGAGCAGTGTAGGGAACGGTGCCTTGCTCAGGGACACCTCGGTAGCACTTGGTCTTTCGGGGACTTGAACCGGTGACCTTCCAGTTGCCAAGCCAAGTCCCTATGGACTTTTCCACCACCGCCCACAAATTTGCACACTGATCTGACGTGGCTGTCTAAGTTACCAGCCATTAGCTCGGTTAGCTAGTTAGACTTGTAGAAAGAAGACGTCCCCATTCGGACACAGCCATCAGTGCTGGACATCTGAATAAATCTGAGATGTCGACCCAGCTGGATCAGACAAGGGTCTTTATTTTATGACAAGGGTCAGATTATTTTAACACAATAAATTGCTGACTTAAGTTTTTTAGGTTTTAGGCATCTTTTATTTTCCTCCTTGAGTCAGTCAGAAACATTTTGTTGCTGTCACCTTATTACTCATTAATTACCATAAAGTAAAATGAAGTGGGGAGTTGATTTCAATGACTTTGACTTCAGTGAAACAGAATCAGCGCTATCAATTTGACTGATGTGATTTAGATTGTGATTGCTATCTAAATCTCTGCTCATTCCAGCTCTATAGCATCTGTTAATGTTCTGCTGCCTTCACATGCTCCTTCACTTCCTGGTTAACATGAACACTTCTTGTGAGGTGGTCAGGTGCTGCACGTCAGAAATCAGAATTGATATTACAATTTTGTACTTTTTCATTTGTTCACAGAAGAGCTACTCTTTCAAATACTCACACATTGGATTAACAGAAGGTGTCTAATCTTCACATTTCTGAAAGCCTGTGAAGGCAGCATCTGGCTTCATTTGCTCAAAAGCCATCAGCATGTGAACTGATATGAGGGCTGACAAACCCCTTCGAAAAATGTTATTTAATGACCGTGAAACACCACTTACTATGTGATGAATTTACAATATGAAAGTACATATTTCTTCTTGATTTTTTAAATCAGGATTCAAAGGCTTTATTATCATATGCACAGTAGCTAAAGTGTAGTTATGGCAATGAACATCTTAAGTCCTAGAATCCTCCAACAATGCAACCTAAATACATATAAATTAATAGAAAAATAGTGCAAGAAGAAACAGAGGAGAATACAATAGTGCAAGAGAATGTTGCAAGACCAATGTGCAAGTAATGCGGATGAAGTCAACTATACAAGTCAGAAAAAAGACAATAAGCTGTAACAGTAAGTGACCAAGTAAATGTAAATGTTTTCAAATGTGCAAATGTTGATGTTGAATGTGTCACACTGATACAGGTTTGTTTAGTTTTTTTTTAAACTGTTTTCAGTTTCTTTGGGTTAGCCATCAGTTTGATGTACTTCTGAGCGTGTCTCAGCAGAGACTCTGCAGGCTGTGTTTCATACGTTAACCCTCTGTGGACATGAGCGTCCACTTCCTGTTTAGGTACAGCCTTTACCTTCCACTGTCTTCTTATTCTGTGTCTCTTTCTCTCCTCTTCTCTCCTGTTTTTCACTCCCTCACCCCCCTCCCTCCCTCCGTCCTCTCATGGCTGCCCGCTGCATCTCCCCTCCTCACTTGCATGTCATCTTGTGTGTTTCTTATGTTGTTGTCTCTCGTGTAAATGACCACTTAACAAACCAAACTAATGCTTGTTTCACACTTATATAAATCCTCATTATCACACATTCATTACACGGAATGATTTCATGAATCATTCCCAAACACCCTGGTCCCGTTAACCCCACCACCCCCCCGCCCCCAGACCCTATAGACCCATCTGAGGATGACCACTTCCACATCTTTGATAAATACCCCACTCCCATGCCAGACACCAGTACTCCCATGATCCCCCCTGTCGGGGTCCAAGCCGTGGCTCTCTCCTCGGACTCGGTCCGTGTCTCCTGGGCCGACAACTCCATGACCAAGAACCAGAAGGCGTCTGAGGTCCGGTACTACTCCGTCAAGTGGAAGACCAGCTACTCCACCAGCGGGAAGTACAAGGTGAGGCCAGCTTCTCCATCACTCTTTAGTCTAACCTCAGCCAGGTGTGAGACAGTCATGACTGTGTTGGATTTAGATTTGACTTGACTTACTAAACCAGAATCTGAATTCCTTTATTCCTCCCACAAAGTGGACATGTACGTTGTTACAGCAAAGGAGAAGATGGAGACAAAGCACTATTAAATAGAGAGCATGCCCAAAATATAAAAAATATAAAATTAAAAGTTATTCCAAATTACAATTTCTGACATCACTTGAACTTTTGACTTGAATCACTCAATATCCCAAATCCCAGATGTTAGAAATATGCTTTTTGTTAGACTTGGGTACATCAGGTAACCCTGCCTTCTGTCAGGAGTCAGGACCTGTTTACGATGTGAGACTTGCACAACAATGCCACGCCTCTGCTCTCTTATGAGCTCAACACTCAACACACAAGGTTTTATGTCTGCAATGAATTCCATAAGTGTAGCCTACGTATTTATCATGCCCCTCTATGATTCAACTTCACCTTTTTGAAACTCCTTGTGAACAAGTTACCAGAGCACATGATGAACCTTCCGCTCCCTTCTCTTCTGTAAACACTATTCAAGGAGCATCAGAGTTTCACACCAGAGATACATTAGATGGGTGTTTGGCTGATGTGGGGGATGTAGAGACAATTATTATTGGAGACTGGAACACGGATATGCAACGTAAAGACACGTCCGTCTTCAAGTCCTTCAGTAGGATTTGTGATCTGCACGGCTTCAGCCAGCTAATCACCCAACCCACCCGGGTATGTGAAACAACACAAACTACCATTGATCTCATTCTGACCTCTGACAGGTCCAGGATCTCCAGTAAAGGGGTTATAGCATGCGGTTTAAGTGATCATTATATGATATTCTGTACCCGCAAAAAGCTAAAACAAAAGGCCGGCTGTCACAAAACAGTCATATCTAGAGACCTCAAAAACTACTCTAGCGAGGCCTTTAACCTAGAACTGGAGAGCCTGGACTGGTCAGATGAGCTCAGTGGTACACAAGTTGAAGAAACATGGCTTGGTTTCAAAAACAAATTCTCTGCAATACTCAATGATTTGGCCCCCCTAAGAACAACCAGGGTAAAAAATCGCGCTGAGCCGTGGATGCACTCCGGCATACTGACCGCCATGAAAACCAGAGACAAAAAATGCTCTGAGTTTCATAAAAGTCAGTCAATGCTTTCCAAAAGCACGAGCAGTGAACTCCAGGCCCACGTGACTGAACTAAAAATTGAAAGAAACAGACTAAGAAATGACGTAAGCTCCATGATCAAAACTGCCAAAAAGAATTTCATCAATGACAAAACTGAGGAAAACAAAAATAAACCCCGTGAACTTTGGAAATTACTCAATAACCAGCTTGGCTGCAGTAAAAAACTCAAAACGAGATTTTCAAACGTAAACATAAAGACAGATAACAGGCTCATCACAGACAAACTGGATGTGGCCAAGTACTTGAACATTTTTTTTCACAAACATAGCCACAACTCTTGTAAATAAATTACCCTCCCACTCAGGGCTTTTTGGAGTAGATCACATCATGACCTACTACAAAAACCTAGGGGTACGCAAAGATGATTTCAGTCTAGCAAGGGTAACAACAGCAGAGGTACTCATTAAACTGAGCGCCCTCAAACCTAACAAGGCCACTGGCCACGACAATATCCCCTCCAAATTCCTCAGAGACACAGCAACCGCCATCTCACCAGTCATAGCTCACATAATTAACCTCTCCATAAAACAGGGAAAAGTACCCAAAGACTTCAAAATTGCAAGAGTAACCCCCCTGCACAAAAAGGGCAGCAAATTGGACCCAGGCAACTACCGCCCTGTTTCTATACTTACCTCCATCTCGAAAGTCATGGAAAAAATAGTATATGAACAGGTCGAAAAGTACCTCGCAGAAAAGAAACTAATCTATGAATTTCAATCTGGCTTTAGAACATCCCACTCCACTGACACATGCCTTCTTTATTTGACCGACCACATCAAACAAGAGGTGGACGAGGGTAAATACTGCGGCATGGTGATGCTGGACCTACAAAAGGCTTTCGACACTGTCAATCACCCCATTCTGATTGACAAGCTAAAAGCAATTGGTTTTGATAAACTATCGGTGAGCTGGATGCAATCCTACCTGGAGGGGAGAGAACAGATGGTGGAGGTAAACGGTACTCTGTCCCCCCCCCTCCCAGTGAGCTGTGGTGTTCCACAAGGAAGCATATTAGGTCCGTTACTGTTCCTAATTTATGCAAATGACATGTCATCAGCATGTGACTGCAACTTGTTCCTGTTCGCGGACGACTCAGCCCTGCTGGTCTCTGACAGGAGCAGATTGCAGGTTGAAAAAACCCTCAGCTCCGAGCTCGGCAGAATCTGCACCTGGCTCGCCGATAATAAATTATCATTACACCTGGGTAAAACAGAGTCCATTCTCTTCGGTTCGAAACATAATCTCAGCAAATCCGACGACTTCTCAGTTGCAGTGGGTGACATTATTGTCACAAGTAAGAAGGAAATTACATACCTAGGATCTATTCTTGAGGCAAACCTCTCCTGTGACAAAATGGCATCCAATGTAATAAAAAAAGTCAATCAAAGAACTAGATTCCTATACCGGATCTCCTCTCTGGTAAACAAAAACACCCTGAAAACTCTGGCAGGAGCACTCATTCAAGGGTACTATGACTATGCTTGCACGTCATGGTACCATAGCACCTCCAAGGCGCTAAAAACAAAACTTCAAACATCGCAAAATAAACTGGTCAGACTACTGCTTGACCTTTCATCTAGAACCCACCTCACCTCTGCCCACTTTGACAACCTAGGATGGCTTAGAGTAGACGACAGAGTACAGCTACTTGCAATGGGCCTGGTCTACAAGATCCACTACACCTCTATGGTACCCATGTACATGTCAAAATTCTTCCCAAAGGTCAAGGAATACCATGATCATAACACCAGAGGGAGCTCCACAAATCATGTAAAACCCAGATTTGGCACAAAAAAAGGGGAATACACGTTTCGCAATTATGCCACATCAAGGTGGAACGCTCTTCCCACAACTGTAAAGGAAAGTAAAACTATACTTACCTTCAAAACCTCTCTTAAAGAGCACCTTCGGGGGAAAGCATTGCAAAACTGGCCCCGGTAATGGTACAAATCTCAACCTGTCGTACAATGGACAGCTTCCCCCCCCCCATCTATGTATATACTCGCATTTTAGACTCTGTTACTAACTGTATATCTGTAGACTTGGTATGTCTTAAATGTCCGGTTAGGATGTATTAGAACGAAATCTAAAATGAAAATTGTAAATAATCCATCTGTATGTAAAAAACCACCTGTATGTAAATTGTAAATAAGCCATCTGTATGTCATATATGTCTTATATGTCTTAAATGATATGATGAATTGGAAATGGGGGACCCTGATGTAAACAAGACGAAAGTCTTTCTCTGGTCTGCATCCCCTTAACAATTGTATGTTTTGAGCTGTACTGTACTGTACCCAATATACAAGCTGTTAATAAACTTTTCAATCAATCAATTCAATCAATCAATCAGAAACATGGATCTGAGCATGGAGAATCGATCTTTTGTTCATCAACACATTTCTTAAGAAATAATCCCCAGCTGACAGAAACAAGGAGTTTGATTGTTTGGCAGTAACAGGGTTAAACATTACCTGGATTACACTTGGTTGTATTGAAACCAAGACAAAAACTGGTCTTGTCATTTTGTTCTTGTTCGCTGGTGAGATCTCTCTTCTTCTCTGGACTTCATCATCTGAAGTATGCTTGAAAAACCAGGGAGATAGGAAATCTATACCAGGGCACACAGTGTGCTCACCTTAATAAACTGCAGGCCGACGGAGAGGGGAGTCTTTCTTTCTTACCCTGAAATCAAGACATTCTGTTCTGAAAGTGCACATACACCTGAGTCTCTGCACCTGCCAGGGTTTATTTGTATGAACTGATATTGAAGGCTGAAGAATACATCTGAAGTAAACACAAGAACAGACTGAGTGTGTCCATAATACTCTTTGGTATTATTCTTTTAATTATGTCTCCAATGTTTTTATATAAGGTATAGAATAAATGTAACAGCAGCTTTAATGTTTTGTGTTAAAAAACACCTAACCATTTCCTTCAGTTAAAATCTAAAACTATCTCAATTGTACAACTCGTTTCTTCCAGTCTGCAGACACCACGGCGCTCACCCACACTGTCACCGGCCTCAAACCAAACACCATGTACGAGTTTGCTGTCATGGTAACCAAAGGTCGCAAGTCCAGTACGTGGAGTATGACAGCGCACGCAACAACGTATGAAGCAGGTAGGTGTGTCACTCACACACACACTTCTGTTTCTATTGAGGACCCACTGGCACAACAGATCTCCTCCCACCTGATGATGCTCACTAATACACACTGTGAGGCCGGGGGCACGCTTTTATTTCCCCAACCGGCATCTCCCCCCTGTCGTGTTCGGGTCAGATCTGACTCATTTACTACTTTGATAAATGATAGATATTGTGTTTTACATGTGATTGTCTCAAGGCCTTATGATATCCTCCACAGTAGGAATGTGAACATATCAACTTGCTGATCAGCACTTTCATTGAATGTTGGTGTTCCCGGTCAAAAACGACGGCCATAGGGAAGGAAAGGGTTACCCTACCCTCTTGCATCAGATAGTACACAACCACATGACAACCATGTTCATTTTGGAGTATATTTTCAGTGTCTATTCTTTGTATTTTCACTGCAGTTATTCATGTAAACCAGTCATCTGAGACATTGTTTACAGCATTTGTAGTGTAGTGTTGTAGTTGGTCAATTCGGACCAAATGTAGATACTGTGTAGATTAGTAGTACACAGTCTCACAGCTGGTGCATGGAAACATCTGGAGGAAAAGCTTCTCAGCAGTGTGAGCAGCAACAAGAGTTCTGCTGTAGAACCAATCTCTCTAAGAAACGAGTGATGGTGCAGAATCAGAGATGGTTAGAATCATATATGAACATGAAATGTTAAATCAATCATTCCAAAGGTTAGCACTTACTGAAGAGGATTGAGTGAAAGAGAGAGCTGTGGGAGAAGATCTGCAGAGTCATAGTGAGACATGTGAGGTAGTAATGTCATGTGATGCTCTAAACATGCAGGAATATGACTGGACGTCAGCTAGTGGCTAAACAGCATGAGCCAATGATGGTGAAGCATGCATGAAGCTGCCAGAGGGGGAGAAGTACTCAGATCTACTTGAGTAAAAGTAGAAGTACCAGAGTGTGGGAATACTCTGATACAAGTCAAAGTCCTGCATTCATAATGTTACTCAGGTAAAAGAAGAAAAGTATTATCATCAATATATAGGTAAAGTACCAAAAGTAAAAGTAGTCATTGTGCAGATTGGTCCATTTCAGAATAATATATATTTTACAATTCTAGTAATTGGTTGATTATTTTTTCAGTTTTAATAAAGTGATTTTCCGCTTCACTGACATGTAAAACAAACACGTTTTGTCTTGGAGAGTTTGTTGCCTGACATGCAGGGAACAACTGCTGTTCACCAAAACAATATGTGGGTGGAACTTTTCTTTCCTTGAACAGTGATAACTTTTAATGAGTGGTTTCAAAATGGTCAGAAAAGCTGTTGGGTTCAGTGAGGTGTAGGCAGAAGCCCTGCTAAAAAGGCAATTGTCTGCAACAGTGAAACCCAGCCACAGACTCAAATCAGAATGTCAAGGTATCCTTTCAGGATGTTTACAATCATGTTTGTCGGATTTGTCACCCAATTAAGCGTGAACGACATTGCCCCCCGAGGCCCGCTGGATTACATTGACATTCAGAGCGAGCAGACGGAGCCCACTCAGCCCCTCAGTGGTCCACAGCTCTGGACACACACACTGACCACATTTCACAGAAGACACAGAACAAGCTGCCTCCACTGCAGCTGCACTCCTCCACCTAATGTTCAGTATTCGCTGTCCAGAAGACACCAGCTGAGGACATTTGATAGAACATGTCGGTTATAACCTGCTGAGAGAGCCTTGGAAATAATGGAGATATCATTTGGTCTCAGCAAATCTCTCACCATCTAACTGGCTAGTCGAAAACAATATAATTAAGTTTTACCTAATATGTTTTATTTAAACTTGATATTATTGCTTTCAACTAACCTGATACAGTTATGTGACATTTGTTGACCTAATACATTTAATTAAAGTCAACGTTTCCGTTCAGTGCACAGGACCTGATGACATTAGATTTGTTGTGGAATTCTGGCTCCCCAGAGGAAAAACCTAATGATGTATATGATATAGTGATACCACCATCAGTACACATTGTTACTTCCATTTACATTTTAAACCGTGAAGAAAGTTCTGCGAAAGAAAAAGAGAACATTTTGAACTGGTAAATTAGCAATTTAGAAAGTTTGCAGGCGGTCATGTGACTGAACACTACGTTAACAGCATTTAAAAAATGTTAAGGAATAGTTTTGATTTGAGTTTAGTTACATGAGGATAATGCTCCCTGTTCTGAAATGTACAAATGTCTAATTTTATTTCAAACTGGGTTTACAGTTATTCTAATCCGACCAGGCAGAGTAATTATCCAGTATTACAGCATTGAATATAAACTGAAGACAGCGTTGAGCGTTCAAACCTCAACTTACTTATTATCCAGCGCTGTGAGGTCTGTCCTGGTACTGCTCAGTTACACCTGTGACTCCATGGTGACAGCTGAGCAGAAACAGACCTGAGTCCTGTTGAGACGCTGAATGCATGACATCTTCACACCAGGGGCAGTAACAGGAAACAGTTTCCTGTAGTTCAAACTAAGTTACTGCAATACAAGAAAGTCTCAGCAAACAGACGCTGAGGGGTCTAAATCTGGGTTTCAAACGTTCTGAAGCCACAAGACGATAGGTGACGGCGTCCGACACACATTTCCAAAAAGCACGCACACTGATGTTGATTGGTTCCACGAAATATGATTTCCTAAACAATAAACTCTGGTTGACCTAAAGATGTCTCATCCTGTACTGCTCATACTCATCTGTGTTCTTTTTCTTTCCATTCTGTTCAGCTCCTAGTTCTGCCCCCAAAGATCTGACAGTGATCAGTCGGGAGGGACGACCCCGCGCCATTCTGATCAGCTGGCAACCGCCCATGGAGGCTAACGGACGAATCACAGGTGAGGATTTACACAACGCACCAATCACAGTACATCAGTGGACTTATTACTTATAACTTGGATTTTGTTCACACTGTAATTTTACAATTATATTTAATTGAATATGCTATTCCTTTCAAACATAATGTCAATAATAAACTTACTTTTTTTTGGCCCTTCATTGTGTTTATTTGACAGTCTACAGATTTCTATCTTTCCCTGTCAACTTGTTTATATTTTACTTTTTAGTTCTGTTTTATTTTCTATTTTGAGATGTTGTATTTTCTATTTGTTAATTATCTACTCTTTTTATTTTCACATGATGTGCAATACCTTGTTTTAGAATGCTGTGAAATATATCTTATTTTATACTCACACTCACTGTTCAACTACACTACACACACTACTGTTCAACTACACTACACACATACTGTTCAACTACACTCACACAATCTGTTCACTCCATACACACTACTGTTCAACTACACTACACCCACTATGTTCAACTACACTGCACACACACTACTGTTCAACTACACTGCACACACACTACTGTTCAACTACACTACACACACTACTGTTCAACTACACTACACACACTACTGTTCAACTACACTACACACACTACTGTTCAACTACACTACACACACTACTGTTCAACTACACTACACACACTACTGTTCAACTACACTGCACACACACTACTGTTCAACTACACTGCACACACACTACTGTTCAACTACACTACACACACACTACTGTTCAACTACACTGCACACACACTACTGTTCAACTACACTACACACACTACTGTTCAACTACACTGCACACACACTACTGTTCAACTACACTGCACACACACTACTGTTCAACTACACTACACACACACACTACTGTTCAACTACACTACACACACACTACTGTTCAACCACACTGCACACACACTACTGTTCAACTACACTCACACACACTACTGTTCAACCACACTACACACACACACTACTGTTCAACTACACTACACACACACACTACTGTTCAACTACACTGCACACACACTACTGTTCAACTACACTACACACACTACTGTTCAACTACACTACACACACACTACTGTTCAACTACACTGCACACACTACTGTTCAACTACACTACACACACACTACTGTTCAACACACTACACACACACTACTGTTCAACTACACACACACACTACTGTTCAACTACATACACCCACAACTACTGTTCAACTACACTGCACACACACTACTGTTCAACTACACTACACACACACTACTGTTCAACTACACTGCACACACACTACTGTTCAACTACACTACACACACACTAGTTTCAACTACACTACACACACTACTGTTCAACTACACTACACACACACTACTGTTCAACTACACTACACACACACTACTGTTCAACTACACTACACACACACTACTGTTCAACTACACACACACACACACACACACACACACACTAGTTCAACTACTACACACACACACTTGTTCAACTACACTACACCACACTACTGTTCAACTACACTACACACACTACTGTTCAACTACACTACTACACACTACTTCAACTACACTACACACACCTACTGTTCAACTACACTGCACACACACTACTGCAACTACAATGCACTCACACACTACTGTTCAACACTGCACACACACTACTGTTCAACTACACACACACACACTACTGTTCAACTACAGTGCACACACACTACTGTTCAACTACACTACACACACACTACTGTTCAACTACCCTACACACACACTAGTTCACAACACTGCACACACTACTGTTCAACTACACTACACACACACACTACTGTTCAACTACACTACACACACACTACTGTTCAACTACACTACACACACACTACTGTTCAACTACACTGCACACACACTACTGTTCAACTACAGTGCACACACACTACTGTTCACACAACACACACACACATACTGTTCAACTACACTACACACACTACTGTTCAACTACAGTGCACAACACTACTGTTCCAACTACAACACTAGTTCAACTACAACTACACACACCACTACTGTTCAACTACACTACACACACCACTACTGTTCAACTACCCTACACACACACTACTGTTCAACTACACTCCACACACACTACTGTTCAACTACACTACACACACACTACTGTTCAACTACACTACACACACACTACTGTTCAACTACACTACACACACACTACTGTTCAACTACACTACACACACACACTACTGTTCAACTACACTACACACACACTACTGTTCAACTACACTACACACACACTACTGTTCAACTACACTACACACACACTACTGTTCAACTTACACTACACACACACTACTGTTCAACTACACTACACACACACTACTGGTTCAACTACACTGACACCCACACTACTGTTCAACTACACTACACACACACTACTGTTCAACTACACTCACACACACTACTGTTCAACTACCACTACACACACACTACTGTTCAACTACACTACACACACACTACGTTCAACTACCCTACCACACACACTACTGTTCAACTACACTGCACACACACTACTGTTCAACTACACTACACACACACACTACTGTTCAACTACCCTACACACACACTACTGTTCAACTACAGTGCACACACACTACTGTTCAACTACACTACACACACACACTACTGTTCAACTACCCTACACACACACTACTGTTCAACTACACTGCACACACACTACTGTTCAACTACACTACACACACACTACTGTTCAACTACACTACACACACACTACTGTTCAACTACACTGCACACACACTACTGTTAAACTACATCACACCACACTACTGTTCAACTACACTACACACACACTACTGTTCAACTACACTACACACACACTACTGTTCAACACCACTACACCACACACTTACTGTTCAACTACACTACACACACACTACTGTTCAACTACACTGCACACACACTACTGTTCAACTACACTACACACACTACTTTCAACACACTGCACACACACTACTGTTCAACTACACTACACACACACTACTGTTCAACCTACACACACACACTATGTTCAACTACACTACACACACACTACTGTTCAACTACACTACACACACACTACTGTTCAACTACACTGCACACACACTACTGTTCAACTACACTACACACACACACTACTGTTCAACTACACTACACACACACTACTGTTCAACTACACTACACACACACTACTGTTCAACTACACTCACACACACTACTGTTCAACTACAGTGCACACACACTACTGTTCAACTACAGTGCACACACACTACTGTTCAACTACAGTACAACACACACTACTGTTTCAACTACACTGCACACACACTACTGTTCACTACACTACACACACTACTGTTCAACTACACTGCACACACATACTGTTCAACTACACTACACACACAATACTGTTCAACTACACTGCACACACACTACTGTTCAACTACACACACACACACTACTGTTCACTACACTACACACACACTACTGTTCAACTACACACACACACTACTGTTCAACTACACTACACACACACACACTACTGTTCAACTACACTACACACACACTACTGTTCAACTACAGTGCACACACACTACTGTTCAACTACACTACACACACACTACTGTTCAACTACAGTGCACACACACTACTGTTCAACTACCTACCCACACTACTGTTCAACTACATGCACACACACTACTGTTCAACTACACTACACACACACTACTGTTCAACTACAGTGCACACACACTACTGTTCAACTACTACACACACACTACTGTTCAACTACACTGCACACACACTACTGTTCAACTACAGTGCACACACACTACTGTTCAACTACAGTGCACACACACTACTGTTCAACTACACTACACACACACTACTGTTCAACTACAGTGCACACACACTACTGTTCAACTACAGTGCACACACACTACTGTTCAACTACCCTACACACACACTACTGTTCAACTACCCTACACACACACTACTGTTCAACTACAGTGCACACACTACTGTTCAACTACACTGCACACACACTACTGTTCAACTACACTACACACACACTACTGTTCAACTACCCTACACACACACTACTGTTCAACTACACTGCACACACACTACTGTTCAACTACACTGCACACACACTACTGTTCAAACTACACTGCACACACACTACTGTTCAACTACACTATACACACACTACTGTTCAACTACACTACACACACACTACTGTTCAACTACACTACACACACACTACTGTTCAACTACACACACACTACTGTTCAACTACACTACACACACACTACTGTTCAACTACACTACACACACACTACTGTTCAACTACACTACACACACACTACTGTTCAACTACACTGCACACACACTACTGTTCAACTACACTACACACACACTACTGTTCAACTACACTACACCACACACTACTGTTCAAACTACACTACACACACACTATGTTCAACTACACTACACACACACTACTGTTCAACTACACTACACACCACTACTGTTCAACTACACTACACACACACTACTGTTCAACTACACTGCACACACACTACTGTTCAACTACAGTGCACACACAACTACTGTTCAACTACACTACACACACACTACTGTTCAACTACACTGCACACACACTACTGTTCAACTACACTGCACACACACTACTGTTCAACTACACTGCACACACACTACTGTTCAACTACACTACACACACACACTACTGTTCAACTACACTGCACACACACTACTGTTCAACTACACTGCACACACACTACTGTTCAACTACACTGCACACACACTACTGTTCAACTACACTACACACACACACTACTGTTCAACTACAGTGCACACACACTACTGTTCAACTACACTGCACACACACTACTGTTCAACTACACTGCACACACA